CTTGGGTTTTTGTCCTTTTGACTTCAACATTTACCTGTGTAGATTAATGTAATACATGTATCTGTAATTGTGTTTGTATGCACTCATTTTTGTGATGATTCTGTCTTTCCTCAGTTGTCAGCTATAAGTTCTTCAATATGCTAGATCTATGCTATTAAACTGAATGCAATCATTTTACTTTCAATGTAGCATTAAAAAAGTACGAAATTAGTGCAGACTCTCTATAGGAATTGTAAATTGTAGTTTCTAATCGCGAGGGTCAGCCCAAGGCACCAGCCTCACAACATAGATTTTATTTACATTACAATACCTAAAATCATGTGTTATTATTATTACATGAACTATATCAACAAAAATTCCCAATAAATTAACTAAATAAAATTATATCAAAATTCATGCTTTCACACAAAACCAGCAATGTTAAATACTTCAAGAGGTGTAACAATGACAGTAGTTGTATCATGCTTCAACTAGTTGTATAATGCTTCAGTAGTAGGTTCATTAACAACAGGAAATTGATCATCAGCAGGCAAACACTCCTCATACACCACTGCTTTACTTATTTCATGAAGACCATACGATTCACATTCTTTCATTGTGATGTCTTCAATAATTCTGTGTCACACACAATCATAATATCACCATTATTAAAAGCACTAACTTATTTTCATCTTTGGCAATGGATTTACTTGTTTTTGTTTCAACAATAGTGGGGTACATTAATCTTTAGAAATGAGTTATAAATTAATATAATTTTTCTTGTGTTTATTAATAGTATACCTTATGAAACAGTAGATATGGACAGCAAGACTAATAGCTAATAGAATCATCAACAAAACTACAGTAATTGCAAGTCCGATAGCAGCACCACCTTCATTAGATGCATCACAAATATTACTAGCTATAGAAAGTTTTATTTGCAATTAAGTCACAATTATTATGATTAGATATACCTCCAATCTCTACAACAATGGGATCACTAAAGGGGCCTCTTCCAACAGGATTGACAGCAGCTACACTAATGTTGTATGCTGCACCAAACACCAGCTCATTGAGATATATATTTTCAATGAGTACATTATATTCAACGAATCTACCATTGAGTTGAGAACAATTGATCTCATTCCACATAATCCTATTAGTGTTTGAATTAACATGAAGAGATGAGGGTACACCTACAGGTACTATAGTGAAGAAATATTGTCAAGCTTCACAGGAAATCAGCAATATATTTTTACTTGATAATGATGTCTTAGCTGATATGATACTTGAATTTGATGCTCCTAGTACATTACCAGCTCTCACTGTGATGGTATAGTTCATACCACTGTACAGACCTATTAATGTATAACTGTATGTTGTAGTGGACTGATGAGGAGCAACAGATACTGTCTCATTCACTGATGAGAACTGGGAACAAGATGGAGTATAGGAGATGGTGTAGTATGTTACATAGTTTTCACTACTGGGAATAATCCAGTTCACTGTAATACCAGTGGTTGAGGCATTAGATACTGAGAGACTAGTTACTGGACTAGGAACTAAAACAAATATCAGTTACATTCTCCCAATGATAATTATAACTCACCATCAAATTTTAACACTGTTACTGTACTATTAACTGAAGGAAGATCTATATATGAGTACACACTGATGGTATAGGTGCTCATTGTTGAGAGATCTGTTATTAAAAATTCATCTTCACTAGTAGATACTAAATCCCTGGTTACACCTCCAGTAGTATACTCAATCACATATCCATTAGCCTCTGATGAAGTAGTCCAGTTCACTTTGATACTAGTAGCATTCAATATAAAGATTCTTACACTATTTGGAGGACCACTAGGAGCTAGAAAAGAGACAAAGGTATCTACCATTGATTCAAATATAATCATACCATGTAACATCACAGACAGACTGTAGTTGACTCCTCCAATCATTGCTATACAAGTGACATTAACTAACACTCCCAGTGGATCAGGATAAACCAGTAGTGTGTTGTTGTATGTCAGGACAGCAATTGATGAATAGTTTGAGTTACTCTTCATCACTCCATTCAC